ATTATCACTGCTCTCTTATTGAAATAAATTCTTTCACTCTGAAGTTCCCCTCCTGATTGAGGAATTTGCACTCTTTTACCCAGTGTGACTCTCTTTGTGATAAGAGTTCGTCTCTACTGGGATTTTACTTAAGTATTTCCACTATTTCATTTTTAACTCTTCTATTCCCATTCATTCTAGAGGAAATTTTTATCAATGAATAAATAATGCTGTTTGTATAAATTTTGTAAGAACAAATAACAGAACAAGTGTCAACTGCCTCCATAGACCTTATAAAACATATTGTAGATGTAGATTCATTTTATCTCAAGGCCACCAGATGGCGATAGCTGTGGCTGTAAAAAAGATAAATTAATAAAAATGGTCAAACGACTTTTTGTCTTGACCTCTCTAAACACTATCCTGCTGAGTTTATAGGTGCACTCCCTCATTTTGGATCATATTCAGTAATTTACATCTTTATCGTACTAGTTTATACGTTTCAAAATAGAGGATTAACTGTAGTATCAAACCATATGCTCACTTGCTAATAAAGCGTCAGTCATTAGTCAGTGAACGTGCAGGTTTGTGTTGAAGCAAAGCTGAAAAGCCTTTACAAATACCTTGGAGTGTGTGGGTTTGTTACATTTTTTTGTAAGTAATGTTGATGACTTTGAGGTTTGAGCTCTTGCTTGGACAAAGAGCTTTGAGACTGTTGTTTGATTTTTTTTTTTTTTACAAACCAGTCCTTACAGTAGATGCTTGTTGGAACCACTTGCAATTTCATGGGTGTAAAATCGCAGTTTCAGGACTCCTGATTAATAAAATAACATTTTCCAAACTGACCCATGTAGCTGCTATGCCACCTCTTTCCAACGTTTCCGGACAGTGAAACAACCAATCACAGGAGATTATAGCCTCGCCTTGATGGATGTAATCTGTCTGACCAAGTTGCATCAGACATCTTAGCTGTTGCATTACACAGCTTTATAGATGTGCCGTAATAAAAAATTTCTCTGCCTCTTTAAGCTGCCATTTGTTATCCTGATTCATCTCATAACCTTTAAAATGTCAGAAAACATCGATGGAACATCTAAACCTAAGATTAGCTTTCCACATTCCCTTTATCTCACACTTGTTTGACCTTATTTTCCCAAAGCACTCGCTGTAATCTTTAATCGATATCTGCATTCATATTAACTCCTCTCAGCACTCTCATAAGCTACAGCAGTCCGAGTTATACAAAATAAAATGGAGCCGCAATCACAGCCCTAATGACACTGAAGCACCGAGGCTGCCATCGCTGCTGTTTTGTCCTCGAAGCACCTGCAGTAAATTTGCTCGCTCAGCCAAACGTAATTTGTGCTAGTGCTGCATTTTGTTTTTCCTCATGCTTTCAGAAGATGAGTTGTCATCTTTTGGGTATCTTATGATGGTACTCAGGCAAGTCTGTATATATATCAGTTCCAGTAATAGTCAGCAGCTGGTTGCTATCCTGGAGAAGCAGATGATGCTGAATTAGTTCACACTGCAGTGATTTGCTTTAGAACCTCCCTCAAGTGCTAATCCATCCCTGTCTGTGTATGTGTGCGTTCAGCTTCCAATCTGGCAGGTGTTTGCTTTAAAGGCAAGAGTTAGAGACTCGATCAGAGGAGGTACATCTTGAAATTACATTATTTAAAAGACTTTTCTTCCAGCCTTATTCTTGTGATGATTTGGGTGTTGTCCAGGGATATCCAGCAGCTCTTCATACAGGACCAAATCATCCACGTCTAGCTGAAGGAGCCCGGGGTGATTGCACAGAAGTCACGGTGATCAGTTCGGCCAAGCCAGATCATGATGACTTGGCTCTGTCCCAGTCTTACAGAAGAAGAAGAAGAAGGTGTACTTTATTGGTCCCCGTGGGGAAAATCCCTCTCTGCATTTAACCCATTCACTCAGTGAAGCAGTGGGCAGCCACTGGGCACCCGGGGAGCAGTGTGTAGGGACGGTACCTTGCTCAGGGGTACCTCAGGGTAGCCGTTCAGGGGAATCGAACCCCCAACCTTCCGATCATGGGGCCACCACTCTACCTACTGAGCTATCCCTGCCCTTACAGAAGCCAAACACAACCTTCATTGACCAACCTGTGCTTCCAACAGTGCAGTGAGATCGACATAATGTTGGATCAGTCTGCAGATTTGAGGTCTGTTTGCACTGATTTGTTTTACCAACCACGTGTGCGGCTTAAACACAGGGTGAACAACATGACGAGTGATCTGCCTGTCGCTGTGTCTTGTTGACAGTTCGGCTGTGGCATATTGGCGTTAGCGCAACCGACATCTGCTTTCTGGGAGATTAGATGTTACCGGACTGTGCTAGCTGGCTCTGCAGCTTCGGTCCAGGCTTGGTCTCTAATCGGTGCTGGCACGACCTCCTTAAAGGCTGGAGGCGTTGACAGGGACGTCTGAGCCTCCCTCCCCCAATCTTTCATTCCTTCTGTTCGTCTCTCCATCCATCCAGTTTTCTCCTTATCTCTTCCGTCTCTCTGGACTTCAGACTCTGACGGATCTGCTTTGTTGCTCGGCTCATGATGAGCACCGAACCCTCCCGAAGAGGTGAAATCTGAATATGAGCTCATATTTTAATTTGACACTGAGATTATTTTTCAGCTGTCATTTTAAATGTCTCATTTGTTTTCTTTAAACTTGATCCAGACCTCGATGCTGACAGGTTGATTATAGCCTCATGCTGATGGCTCTTTCTGCTTGTGGTCGACCGATATTGGTTTTTCAATTACCAATAGAAAATCTTCAGAGAGCAGGGTGGCCAGTATGTATTGCTGATATCATAATTTTTCACATTGGAGACTAAGAGAGGATGTGGAAGGAGCACAGCCTCTAACTTCTAAAGTGGTTTTGGAAACCGTAATGACTCTGTCCTTTGTGATTCAGCTTCACATCAACCTCACTGGCCTCCGAGGTTTGGCGATCATGTCAGGGAGTGTCTCTTGACATCAATGTGGTTGTACTGGTTTTACTTTAATGGCTTAATTTATTGGCTCCTTAAAGGGCAGGTCCTTTAAAAATGCTTATGTTCAGAATAAAGACCATCAACTTTTTATAGCATTTTTTTTTTGGTCATCTTATAGAAACTGTAAACTTGTACATTTTAGATTTTATATTGCAAAGTCAAGACCCTGTATCAAAGATTGACTGTTTACTGTAAGCTTAGCTCAGGCTTGGTCTCCACAAACTCCAGATCATTAGACAGTAAATGCTCCTATATTTGCTAGCAAGTTGCTAACGTTATCGTCTGCGATTAGAAGCAATGGATGTGCGGTTGGATATTATGAGAACAAGTCTTTAGTCTTTGAATGCGCTCCCATGATTACTAGCTAAAGACTCGGTCACGCTATAGTAAAAATGGGGCAGCAACCTCCTTGCAACTGGTGGCTACCTCGTTATTAAACTGAATATTTTGCTATCAGAAACCAGCAACCGCCTGGCTGCCCAGAGTTAAACCACTCTTGGCCTCTGGGCAACCACTTTGGATGGATGGTGATTGCACAGATTACCTTGAGGAAGGCAACAATCACAGTCTGATTCAAAGTGACTGCAGTCGCTCTCACACTGATGAAGGTTCACACATAATTGCCACGTAATTTATGAACACAGGCTGTCACGTTGTTGCAGTCAGTCTGAGTTTGTCTACGCAGGTGAGCGTTACTCGTCTTTGACACTCAATTCAACTGGTTGGCAACTGGTTGTATTTGGGTTATGTTCCTTTATTAAAGGCTGAATAGCAAGGCTGTCATTTTGTACTTAAACTGCTGCACTGCAGCAAGTCTGTAACTATTTGTCTGTCACAGCGAGTGAGAAGAGCCATGTGGAAAAGGAAAAAGAGGATCCAAGTGCAGGCAGTCGTTAAGGTGATTTATTGAACACAAAAATATGGAGAGGCAAACGGCAAAATGGAGAACTAAACTATACTGGGACAACTAAACTACAGAGCAAGAACAAGAACACGAACCTGAACATAAAGGAAGGAAGGAAGGAAGGAAGGAAGGAAGGAAGGAAGGAAGGAAGGAAGACGATGGTACATGATGATGAGTCACGTTATAAATGGGAAGTCATTGGTTCTTTTTGCGGTGACCTAAGTGAGACAAATTCTGACCAAGAAAAAAATCTGAACCTGTCGTTTGTTTCATTAAATCCACTCACCCTTCCAATTATTCAAATTTGCACTCACTCAGTCTTTTAGCCACTCCAGCGCTCGGCTCATAATCCCTGTATTTATTAACATCTTTGACATCTCTAGTAGCTCACGTGATGGATTACTGGCCCGAGACCATTGTTAGCCTCTGCACTCTAAATATATTTCATTTCATGTGGTTTGAGGTCGGAGGCCTGGTGAAACCGGGCTGTGTGTGCTTCTGCTCTGCTGGTCCGGCCTCTGCAGTCTACAGACATCCCCCCCCTCACCCTCCGGTTCCCCTTCGCTGTCTTTGTTTCGGTGCTGCTGCTGCTGCACTTGGCCATGCCTGCAAATGAGCACCAGGACAGAGCAATTATTCACCACAGGGGCAAACCCTGCACCCCTCCTTTGTACATACGATACACACACACACACACACACACACACACACACACACACACACACAGAGATACTGTCATGTTAAAATGTTTCATGCATTTGTAATGTGTAGGGCTGAGATAAACAGGGAAGAGAATGAAACGCACTTCTGGAAATTTCTTGGATGGAGATGGTCTTTTATGTTGGAACTTAATTCCCTCTGGGGGTTTGATGAGCTTCATATCCCTTTCAAAGATGAATTAATGTAGCCCTGACACACACACATTTCTTGTGTACATCTCCACCCTCCCCTTTTCTCCACCCAACCCCAATGTAATGCAGACACTGGCTTGTCTGCAGCACTATCTGTATGTGTGTGTGTGTGCGTGCTGGTGAAGGGGAGATCTTTGTGAGGCAGTGTGCCGGTCCTCTGTGTGTGTGGATGAGAGGGAGTGCGTAATCTGCAGCGGCGTGCTCGCCAGCTCCGCTTGCTGACAAAAAGGCATCTCTTCGTCTGCGTGGCGCTGCCCCTCTGACTCCTGCTCTCTCCTCTTCTCACCTCTTCATCTCTTTTCTTTTTCCTCTCTCTTTCTCTGCAGAAGCCGCTGCCTTGCCCCCTCCCCCTTGTGTCCTCTTTGCAGACAAAAAGCTGGAATAACTGCCCCACCAGGTAAGATGCTGTGTATTATATTATATAGTCCCTTTCTAGCTGCTTTTACAGCTACAAATATGATGTGCATGCTCAGTATTATACAGGCTGGGGGAAAAAAGGAAAATTCTCAAGAGAAAAAGTGCCGGCTTTCTTTCTTTCTTCTTCTCCTCTTCCTTGTCTGATTGTGTGTATGATCTCTAATCAGCATCTCCCTGGGTATCATTCTCTTTTGTTTGGCACAGATTGAGAATATTTGCTGCTGACATATTCGAAGGACGGCGAATATGAAAAAAGTGATGCTGTGATAAGCCAGGGGCTGTTGTTCCTCTGGTTTGATGACCTTTAGTCTTTGTGACGTGCTCCGTCTAGACACCCCTGATTATTCAGCCACCACGGTTCACTCAGGGTGAGCTGCTGCTGCTGCTGTGTGCCTGTGTGTGCGAAACCGAGATAAAAGCCTGATCTTCTGATTTTTTTATACTTTATTTCACTTGGAAACAATGCTGATTGGGTTCTATTTAGAGGCTGTAGCTGTGATGGCATGCGGCCGTTGGCGGTTAGCGACTCATAGCCAACAGATTGTTGGTGGTTTCTCAGTGGGAGCGACACCAAGCCGAGCGAGACCGCGGGATGCATTACGCTGCCTGTCAGCGCCGGCTGAGCTGGCTGTCACAAGTTTGCTGACAGCTCAATCGACTTTTGGAGCAGGTGGCGATGTAGCGCCCTTTTTTTTTCTCCCACTCTATCTTTTCTGTTTCTTTTTCCTTTCTTTTTGTCCTTTCTACTATTTATTCCTCCGCCTCCTGCTTTTATCTGTTTTGTTCTTTCGTGTTGTGGCACCATCCGAGGGGACAATAAACCACTCCATATTCACTTAGTAGTTAAACAAACTTCTAATAGTCTTAATCTCACCGTAATGCACCAAATCTCTGTTTCTCTGTGTGTTGGTTTGTTTCTTTGTCCACAAACTCCTCCCATATCATTAAGAGTTGAGCAACCGATCTTGGCACACAGGTTCATCTTAAGACCAAGAAGGTTCTTATCTATATCAGATAAAATGAAGCCATCCTGTCGTTGAGCAACAGTCTGTTGTTTTTAGCATTTATGCACCTGTGAAAACATATTAAAGCATCCTATCCTTTTAAATTCACAACAATAACATTTGAATTATACCCACAAAAACTGCATTATGCATGAGAAATTATGACGCCTTCAAAGCAACTGACAAAAATGAACTGGTATTTTTTAAAACTAAACAACATCTACTATGCATTTCTTGCCAGCAGCACCAACAGGGCAGACAGTACTGTAACATGGGCGTGTAACGGCATGCACCGGTGTTTATATGTAAGAAGCCTTTTCCTCCCTTACTTTTTATAGTGGACAGTTGGCCTCGGGCAGGTTGCAGTATTCACTGTAAATGAAAGATGGACGTAGGCCTGTGACTCACATATTTATGTATATATATTTATATGTATATAGTCCTTGGACAGGTCTCCAGTCCATCACAGGGCAAACACACAGCAACTCAGAACCTTCTCGCTGTGAGGCAACGCTGCTAACCACCACACCGCTGTGCCACCCTCCTACTTTTGTTTCTGCCGTCTCGCCAACGTTACGCATGTATAACTGCGTGCTAGAAGTCACCGCAATGTCTGTCATATCTATAGTGGCATGACGCCCCCTCGCTCCCCTCCCTGAATCCCCTTTTCTCTCCGCCTATCTCTGTCTCCGTCTGCTCGCACGGTTGCTGGGCAGCTCTCAGGCGAGCTGTCTGCTTTCTGGGACCAACTTGGGATGACAAGCCAGGGCTGAGGCGGGCAGGACGAGGGGGGGGGATGCGCCCTCTTTCTGTCCTTGTTGTTGGGGTCACAGCTTGTCCCCCAATCACCCAGCACCTCCTCTCCTCTCTTTCCCTTTTTTTCCCCTCCTCCCTCCTCCTGCATCCCTCTTCCGGTTCTGCCAAGCCCGTGCCTTCGGAATAGGGCACAGCAGGCAGTTAACCAACTGTTGCCATGCTTGAAGGGCAAAATGAGTGGGAGAGAGAAAGAGTCAACACCACCCTGCTTCTCGCTGCTGTTAGTCAGCGGAGATAAATGTAGGTGCCACAGCGAAGTCAAGCGCAGAAAAGAAAGGCACTGTTTTCTCTTCATGACATCTTCAACTGCAAAAAAAATATGCCTAAACTGTAGATTTAATCCGAAATTGCAGGGATATTGAGCCCGGGTATTTAACAATACAAAATGCAACTTTTTCCGAACTTCTTAATCAGGTTCTTAATCATTAGGGGGGGAGATAAATTCTAGGCTGATTATCCAGCTGGCACAGGAGCTGCTGTAGTCGCCCAGCGTTTCTCAACATCTGCCTCTCAGGCTGCAGTGTTTTTATACCTCCCTGTCAGAGATTAATGCGTGCTGTGGATAATTTGAAGAGGCAAAGTGTTGGAGACAGGAACACGGGAGTCCCTTGACTTTGACAGGAAGCCCTGAAGTGAGTGTTGACAAGTGATACTTGATGTGCATGACGCTAGATGCCAAAGCTGTAAGAGGAGGTGAGCCACAGGAGACAGTTTGTCATTTCAGGGGCGGGAGGGGGGAAGACTGCAGAAGAGCCGGTGAACTGACTGGTAGTGTATTTGAGGAATGCGGGATGATGCTGCATAGTGGAAAACACCCAGAGGAGGCCAATGACATGAGGTAGCATCCCGTCAGTTTGGGTGTTGGGTGGACGATTTAAAGAAAACAGAACTTGATGTATTTGCAAAATTCATCTCAGTTCGCATGAGGTTAAAGGCTAAAAATAACAGAAGCTTCAAGAGGTGCAGTTTTTAATCAGCTTTAGTTGAAGTTTTAGGGCAATCAGATTGACCAGAAGTGTTATTCCCAACAATAACCACCTCCGACAGTTTCATCTTCTCCCCATGAGATGATTACAGGAGAAAAGGACGTCTCATTTGAAAGCCTGAGACAGTCGAGACAGCACAGGACATATAGGTTTTTCTGACACGTGTCTGGGTGCAGATAAAAAGGAGCAAGGTGAGGTAGCTGCTTAGTAACAACAGGTAATAAAACCCAGAGACTAAATGTGTACAGCATTGAGCTTCAAACGGTGTCAGGTGTGCGTGTGCTTTGTAATTTCTGACCATTTCAGTGACTTGAGCAGAATCTTACTTAGATTAAAGTTTCCTTTTAACCTCAGATGCGCTCAGATTTAGAAAGCAGCGTAAGTCATTAGTTTAAAGTTTAATAGTTTTGTAATGTAACTCTTTACATGATCATTTTCAGTTTTATTCAGTTTCTGTTAACTTTTAGATTGTGTTTGCTCATTTCACTTTTTATTTGTTATTTTAGTTTTAGTTTATACTTATAAATTCACTTTATATTCTTTATATTTTGCTATAAAAGTGTGATTTACCCAAACAAGTGCAAGAAAATATAAAGACATTAGGTGTCGCTCAAGACTTTTGCACAGTAATGTAGATATATATTTGTCATGGGCGACATTTAAGACATTTAAGATGTTCAGAGTAGCTTTTATAACACAAACTAAGAACTAAATAGTTCCTGTATATTATCATCGCAGAGGTTCACATTGGCGGCTAGCTTATGTCTCAGCTGCATATTTCCATCAAGGAAACTTTAAAAAGCTTCAAGGATTAACCAGAAATGTCTGCGTAACAACTGCAGTCTTCTTCCTAAATGTTTTTCACTCTCTTTGCATTCCTCAGGGTGAAAGTAATGAAATCGCAGCCTCCGGGCACCATTTCGGGTGGCGCTGTGCTAACGTGTTGATTGATGAATGTGTTTGTAATGCTCCAAAGCCACTAAAAACCTCCATATATACATACTGTGAATGCATATAGATCAGTTCAGCCACCTGTCCTCGCTGTTAACTGCAGCTGTCGTCTTGGAGACACGAAGACCCGCACCTGGTCCTTCCTGCTTTACAGAGGAGAAAGTGCTACGAGCACATGTTTAAGCTTTTAGGTCATGTGAAGGGCAGAGAGCATTACACGTAGGAAGCATGTGTGTTTATGCTCTTCTCTGCTGTACTTCAACAGTGAGTAAAAGAGCCAATCCATTATAAAGCTCATGTTACTGTGCGGTTACTTGTTGTAGTCAGTCTAAACATGGGAAATTTTCTTGCTTCTTTTTCATGCTAATAGCATGCTATTGCAGCAACTAAATCCAATAATCAAAACCACATTTCCTGTTGTTTCTTGTCATAAACAGGATATTACTTTTCTCTGGGGCTCCTGACTCAAGGATCAGACTTAATGGATGCATTTAAAGAGCTGGATTCCACGATGCCCTATTTTTCCAGTGAAATTTGCTCCGAAGCATCTTCTCTTGGGTCCACTGAGTCCTCTTCTGGCTGACTCCTGCACACACTGTACAGTGATACCTCCCTGTGTGACTTTTTAACATTTCAAATTATGACAAAGAGAGATTTGCATGGATTTTACAGGTCTACACTTTCCTACTGGTTTCCTGTAAAACAAGTCTGTTGTTTAGCCACACGGAAAGTGGAGAGAACAGAGTTTTGGCTGTGTTGCCGTCTTAAGATAAATGTTTCAGTCAGGAACTGTCAAAAGTAGATCGGTATTTCCTTCTGCAATTTTTATTTAGCAGCTTGGCTCTGTGCAGGAAGCAACACAAACATCCCGGGTACAACACAAAACAGGCATCAGTGACGTAAGACAGAACACTGAGTCATGCAGCGTAAAAGGAGGAACTGGGGTGAAGGTGGGTTGCAGAGTGGTTTGCAGATATACCACAACTGTAGGGGAAGTCAAAGGAAATTGATAAGTTAATTAAGTGTGAGCTAAAGCAAATTTTACATTTCAGCCTACCTGCTGTGGATTTCAGGTTTCACTGGGTTACATTAGCAGCTAACTGAGATCAAATAACTGTAAGTTTTGCTGTCAGATGATAACTAACGTCACATTATGCAATTCATTCCAGGAAAACAACCAAACAATACACAAATTTGACTGGGATACTCATCTAAGACCTCCC